CACACACACACACACACACACACACAGAGAGAGAGAGAGAGAGAGAGAGAGAGAGAGAAACGGTTTTCACCTTTGTGGTAGCAGTTGCCGTTCCCAGAGCTCGATCCCCAGACCTCGCCCTTGTCCGTGCACAGTACCAGTCGACCCGTGTGTGCTCGAACCTGCGACCTGTGTCTTGAAAGTCGCCTGATTGTTTGCTGTAGGTAGGGTGGTCATCGGGTCTTGAACCGTAGGTATGTAGGTTAGAGGTCTTAGCAGTGGTAGGAGTCATAGCTGCTACAGCGTTGAAAGGTCGAGTCATAGCTGCTACAGTACTGAAGGGCCAAGTCCACAGTCTTCCGGAAGGTCCGGCCCTCCGTGAGTCCTAGTAGGCAGTCCATAGGCAAGTGGCCAAGTGGGCAGTCTTACCTTGCTCAGTCAGCGGTACCCAGTCCCAGTCGCACCTTGTCAAGTCAGCAAGTACAATGCGGGACTGTGTGCACTTGGGGCCCGGTGAAGAGAGGCAGACCAGTGACAATCCAAAGTATAAATAAAGAGGCAATGATCAGTCATGCATTCATTCTGCCTGTGAGCCGTGCGGAAGCGCTGTCGGAGCGAGGTGCCCGTAGGAGAAGAGGGCTAAGAGGAGGAAGATCGTCCATATCCGATAGCCAGTTGGTAGAGGAGAGACGGAAGCCAACTGCCACGTCAGCAAGGTTAGTGTGTGTGAATGTGTGATGTGTGTGTGTGTGTGATGTGTGTGTGTGTGTGTGATGTGTGTGTATGGGTGCAGGACATCCAGGGAGGTCCAGGGTGTGTGCATGGACAAGTTGCTGAAAGCACAGTGATCGGCCATACCGGATCAAGACAAGTCGAATCTGAACTACGTTCTTGGCTTTGTTATCTCTGAGCTTTGTGTGGCCGCAAGTCGCCAGCTTGGTCGTCATCTGTTTGAACACATGCTGAGTGTCGAGCAAGACAAGTCTTCTTAAGAGAGAGAGAGAGAGAGAGAGAGAGAGAATATGATGTCGGCTGCTGTGGGAGGAGACAATCATAAGGGCACAGGAGGGGACGAGGCTCCTCTGGCTACTTTGCCATCCCCAGGATTGCTGCCTTGAGTTTGTTGAACTCTTCTCTCTCTCTTGTGTTTTTTCTTTGGTGTAAGAACCTGCCAAACACGGACTGAGACGCACAGCTGATTTCTGAGTTTTGCCAATGGAATGTATGCGTTGCTGAGTTTCCCGCTTGTTGCTGAGTTTTCTAAGTCTGAGTGTGTGTGTGCTTGCTGGTCTGCATGCCTGTCTGAGTGCTTGTCGGGTTGAGTGTGTGTTTGACCCGCAAGGGTACTTGTCCGTGCGGGGGTCCGAAGGGCCGGTACTTACCTGTGGCCGTGGCATTGAGGGTTGCAGCAGAGAAACACTCCCATGACACTTGGAGCAGCGGAAAAACACTCAAGTAGCAGGTAGGCCGGTACCACACCAAGTAGAGCTGGATCTGCCGGGTACTCGAGGCCGAGCAGAAGAAGACGAAAGTTGACATTTTTAGAGGCCCAGTAGTTGTAGGCTAGGTCTAAGAGGGTATCGGTCCAACCAGTCTGAGTCTAGGGCCTGTACGGGCAATATCAGAGTCTGCAATGATCTTTCCCTCCAAGAAGGAGGAGGTACCGGTTGCTTAGGGGCCGTGCGGCCTAGGAAGTCACTCGCCAAGAGGCAAGCAGGCGGCTATATCTCCAGGAGGAGCGAAGTGCTCCTCCTCATTGTAGGTGTGCAAGTTTGGTGACACACTGGTTGGAGTGCTAGCTGTAGCAGCACTGCTGGGGTAGGAGCAAGGACAGGAGGAGGAGGAAGACAAGTACTAGGAAGGGGGAGCGCCAGAGGTACTTACCTGGCTATGGTGGTTGCCATCTTCATCACCTTGGTGGGTGCTGCAGCAAGAAGGCCCCCAGTGGGGTAGAGCTACACCAAGAAGCTTCGAGGCAGAGTCAGGCATGGCGGCCTGAGCTGGAGCAGCCATAGCTGGTTTGTGTTGTCCTTTGCACAGCAGGGCAGTGCCCTGGTAGTCCGCCATAGCCTCGGCCATGGAAGGAGGAGGAAGAAGGGTGGCCATGGCTATGGTGGACCTCATGTGATACCTGCAGTAGAAGAGGGATTCGGACATTGATTCTGGTTCAGCCATTCAACATTATTATTATTATTATTGCTTGTTTGAATAAGAGGGGAGGATATAAGGAGAGTGGTTGGCGAAGAAGAAGAGGAATTCTCATTGGTCTTTGCTGGTGTACATCTTGTTCTTCTTCTTTCTTTCATCTTCTTCTTCTTCTTCTTTCCCTCGCTCTCCTCTCAAGTGGACGGCATTGTACTTTCTCACGAATGTGTACTTCGAAATTGGTCAGGATCATAACATTGGTGTTTTTCATCCTCTCCACCATTCTGTTGTGTATTCTGTTTCAAGCAGCTTCCTTAGTCATCCTTCCACTAGTTTTATGTCAGTCTGGAAAAACAGTCTTTCTCAAAACAGGACCAATCCTTTGGCAGGTGAAAGCCTGTTTAAAGAATGAAAGAGTCGTGGAGTGGCTTCCTGGAAACCGCTGTGGTAGTCTAGGCTTGGGAGATTCCGAGATTAGATTACCCAGATTTCCCATGCTTCCCTCTTCACAGACTGTGCGGGTTCGTTATCGGCAGTGTGAGGTAGGTGATGAGTCAATGCATACTTCTGAATCGTTCTGACCCCGGCCATTGCGTCGATGGACTTCTCTGCAAACGCTCCTGGTTCACTCCCGTGTGTTCCGACCATTTTGAGCCACAATAGCATATAGCGGATATGTTCATTTGGGTTTGTAGTACTTTGTACACAAGCCTGGTTGTATGGTCCAGACGATGAACCATATAGTGGATGTTGAAGCAACCCCCCACTAGGTCCGTCGGGGTTTTGGATGTCTGTTGTGGGGCAGTAGGTAGTATGCTGGTCATTCTCTATTTCCTTAAGATATCTGCTCTAACTGGAACCTTCGCTTTGGATTCACTAGAGTCCTTCCTGGTTCTCCTATGTCGAACATGTCCATCAGCACCCTTGTGTGTTTCCGCCTTCCTTCTAAACAGTATTCTTTTGATGGAGAGGGATCCTGGTTGATTGTGGCTCAATCTCCCACTCCCCAAGTAAAACCACTTTTCCGAAGTTCACGTAATACCATTCCTGATTCCAAATACTTCTGATGAGCCAGCATCACCTGGCTTTGGTCCTCGCTCCTCCTTTCCATTTCACACCCATAAATCTTGCTTCCATCTCTCTCCCTCCCAACCTCTCTGCATTACCAGCGCACAACTTCCAGCAATTTGAAATTGTGTGTTTATTGAGTGTCAGTCCAAGCATCACCTGGCCTTGGTCCTGGCGTCTTCTCTCAGTTTCACACCTGTAAATCTTGCTTCCATCTCTCTCCCACCCAACCTCTTCTGCATTACCAGCGCAAAACTTACAGCAATTCGAAAATTTATGTTATCAATGTCAGTCCAAGCGATGATATTCAGTCATTTCAATCCTCAAGTCTGATCTTTGCAAGTTTCGTGATTGAATCTGGGCGATCTCTTCCCCCTAAAATAGGCATATAAGATTTTATTTTTTTTCCGTGGAGTGAAGACTTTCATTAATCCTTTCAATGCATGCCACTCCTGGATTTCTGTTGTTCTCCATCCATCATTGCTGTAACGATGCAGGTAAACATATGGGGACGCAAAGTGAGGAGATATCGACATCCATTCTATGCATATGGTTTGCGGATATCAGAACACAGACAGGTGAGTGGAGCGGTTATGAGTCAGTAGACTCAGTACCAATCAGCACAAAAAACGTTGTTCATTAAGGCAGATTCACCTAGGGCTTATTGGGATGATGCAGCAAACTCAGCATAGCACATGTCAGCAAAGTGAGCCATCTCATCCATGCATGTCCAAGCAAGAAGGTAGGAGAGAGAAAGGAAAGACAAGAGGAGAGATGTGGACTGTGCAAAAAAGAAAACTCGTCATTCGAAAAGCAGCAGCATAGTGTCAAGAGTAATTTGGTGACGTGACTGACGTCCTTATGCTGTGTCGAGATGGAAGGTGTGATCAGGGGACCGAATTAGTGACAGACTATGCTCACCTTAGTTAAAAACTGGTCCAGCTCAAAGTGTTTGCCGTGTCTACTCTATCTGCTTTGAAAAACGAAAGACATGGACAGGTATCATAGCAAGAAGTAGAGATTCTATTGCCTTTGGGGCTACATGGAGTAGTGATGCAAGCATCCCCAATAGTACTCTCTGCCTGGGTGCTCAATTCGAGTGGTGGGTAGCATCACCTGCCGGAAACCTGAGCAGGAGTCCCTGATACAACACTGTTCACTGAGCCCAATTTGATGGAAGCCCCAAAGATTCTTACATCGATCTGCTCGGTGGCATTGATTACCCTGACTGTCTGAGCCCGGTGCGCAACTCTTGGTAATAGACGGTCTCTTCAACCTTCAACTGCTGGGAACCAGGTCCAACGTCCCCGTCAGAGACTGCAACCTGACCACCACAGATGGACTGTGGATTTTTTCCTCGATCTGCTTGGCAGCATTGATTGCCCTGATTATAGGGGATCAACTATCCAAGACCAGTCTGCCACTCTTGGCAATAGACTCTCTTCAACCTTCAACTGCTGGAAACCGGGTCCAACGTCCCCTTTAGAGACTGCAGCTCGTGCCGCTTAAAACAGGGAATCGACTGCAGTGTTGTGCTTAGACTAAGGGCTTGCCACTTTGTCAGTGTCTTGCCGCGGCTTGCACTCAATGTGGCAAAATGACATGTTTCAATGATGTTTGTGCTTTCCATTCTACACTTAAAAAGTCATCCCTGGACAATTTTCATGTCTACGCTGTCACTTGCTGGGGGAGAACAACTCCTGCCAGGTCCAGGCAAAAGGCAGAGATATTTTATTGTATTTTTTTTTTTTTAATTCCCTCTTTCTTTCTTCAGAGAGTACAGGATGGGTCTGCTACAACCTAAAGAAGTTGGTGAGGCCTATGTATTAAATATGTGGGTATGAGAATACATCCATACATGAATAAACCCTTCAACACTCGTAGACCTTAGATGTCGTTCACGGGGTGAGAGATATCATGGGGTGGCCTTCGTTGGATACGTATGTGGTTACTTAAACGTGTGAGTCCTTCGCTGCTGTGGGATGACTTGATCCATGATGCAAACATTTTTTGAGATGTACGATGTGCTTTGGTTGCGTGGTCATTTTCCGATCATTTCTGACAGACGAAAAGGTGGCACGTCAGCCACAGGACTGGGAAAGGACTTGAAAAACAACCCGCCAAGAGGGCTGTGCAGATGCAGGCAGGCAGGCGTGAGCCAGGCAGGACCGCAGAACCGAAATGGCTCCAAGTATGGAAAACCTGACACAGGACCAAAAAACGAACTGGAGGGTGGTGTGTTGAAAAAGTGCAAAAGGACACGGCATGGGTTGGAGGCAGGAAAATATGTACTGCTGGGGGAGGAGGAACAGCAAAGTGGCTTTGCGATCTCCTTGTCATGAATATGAGCTGCTCTTTGTATCTACTACTCTTTTCCTGTATTTTCTCCCTTTCGTATGTTCCCTGAGTTGGTGTCCACACTATTATGTCACCTTTGTGTGTTGCTCAGAAGATTTCCTTTTTGTTGGCCCCCTTTTAATCACACATTTTGTCACAGCATCCCCTTTCCCAGTGGTCTTTAGTAGTTCACGGGTTCCTTGTCTTCTTTGAGAGGGTGCAAGGATATTTTTCAAAATTTGATCTGAAATTGAGGTACCATCAGATTGAGGTACAGCCCGACGATCAGCACAAGACGTTGTGGTCATGAGTTTGTGGTCATGCCGTTTGGGCTGACGAATGCCCCTGCCACTTTTCAGAGATGCATGAATGATCTCTTTAGAGAGCCGATATATAGATTTGTTGTTGTTTATCTAGATGACATTCTGATTTTTAGCAGATCGTTAGAAGAGCATCAGGAACACCTTCAGTTGCTACTAAGTAAGCCACGTGACACTAGGTTCAAAGTTCAAACTGAACCCAAAGAAGTGCAAGTGGGAAAAGCGCCAGATTCTATACCTTGGACATGTTGTCGACAGAGATGGAGTCAGACACAAGCGGTCATCGGGTAGCTGAAAATTCAGGAATGAAAATTCTGAAGGGAGAGTTTTGGGCAGTCTGAAAATCCTGAATGGTCATGAAGTGGTGAAAGGTCCGAAGACCCTGAAAACCACCTGTTTAGGCAGGCTGCATCCTGAAGTGGTGAAGGGTGTCCTGAAGTGGTCAAGTGAGAGTTTTGGGCAGTCTGAAAATCTTGAGTGGTCCTGAAGTGGTGAAAGGTCTGAAGACCATGAAAACCACCCTTCACCACTTGAGGATGAAACCTGCCTAAACAGGTGGTTTTCAGGGTCTTCAGAGCTTTCACCACTTGAGGACCATTCAGGATTTTTAGACCTGAATGGTCCTGAAGTGGTGAAAGGTCCGAAGACCTTGAAAACCGCATGTTTAGGCAGGCTGCATCTTGAAGTGGTGAAGGGTGTCCTGAAGTGGTGATGAAAAATACGACTGTTGTTAACCTTCTCTCACTGGAAGATGCCAAAATAGCAGCAATTTGAGTTTGACTTACCCTCCATACGCTCACAGAACTGCAATCGTTCCTAGGACCAATTACTACAGAAAGTTCGTAAGGAACTTCACGTCTATTGCTGCACCAGTTCGCAGACTGCTGCGTAAAGAAACAGGTTGGAAATGGCACAAGGACTGCACTTCTGTGTTTAAGTTGAAGAAGTGCTTGAGCAAATACCCAGTCTTGAAGTTGACTGACCCGTCTCTTCCATTCATTGTGACTACCGACGCAAGGCAGTATGGCATTGGCGATGTGCTGCAATAGAATGGTGGCAAATGCTATAGGCCTGTTGAGTTCATAACCCGTAGGTTGCCTTGCGAGAAGGTTACTGCGTCGACCTACGAGAGAGAACTGTTTGCACTTGAGGAAGCATTAGCACACTGGCAGCATTATCTATTTGGTAGGCATTTCAAAGTGTACTCAGATCATAGGACATTCCGTTGGTTGAATACTCTGGCTCGGATGTTTACCAAGTTAGCTAGGTGGGCTAATTGACGAGTTTGACTTTGAGTTGACTTTGAGTTGAAAGTGGTCAAAGGTAAGTATAATGTTGTTGCAGACGCGCTAAGTAGACAGGAAAATTACTTTGGCACAACAGTAACTTACCTAGACGTAGGTACTGAACTGCAGCAAACGATCCGAGATGCCTACACTAAAGACGAAGTCTACAATGGCATTATGATGAAGGGGAGTACTAAACCGCGTGAAAGTCCCAGATTGATGTGTATGATGATAGGTTATGCTATGTATTCCGAATGCAGAAGTCCATAGTTTGATCTTGGGGGAATATCACGACTCAGAGGTCCACCTTGGATGGAGGAAGACCTATGCCAACCTCCTACGGTCCTACACTTGGATCGATATGAAACATGGTTGTGTAGCGTACACTCAAGGCTGCAAGGTGTGTCAGCAGAATGAGAGTTCCTCGCAGCCTCCCTCAGACTATTGAAACCCCTGCCTATCCAATCGGGTCCCGAAGACTCTCTATCTATAGACTTCATGGACACTAAGGTAAGGAGTAGGAATGGTCAAAAACAGGCTATGGTCGTTTTTGACAAATTTAGTAAATTTGCTTTTTCTATTCCACTGCCTGCAGAGGCAAAGGCCAACTTAGTCATCAGATAGTTTTTCAATTATTGGGTTAAGGACTACGGACACCCCCTCAACTATCGTCAGCAATAGAGACACTAGGTTCACGGGCGAGCACTGGTAGTAACTAATGAAAGTCTATGGGTCTAGCATGTACATTAGGCCGGACCAGATTGATTGGGATGAGCATCTCCTAAGGTAGCAAGTGCTTACAACAATTCAGTGCACCTTGCCACCTCACGGACACCTAATGAGCTGCACAAGGGTTGGTGTCACATAGACTATTTGAATCCGGATCAGATGCAAAGACTGCCACCCAGAACAAGGGAGTTTGCCATTCAGTACGAGAAAGACTTACAGTGTGTGACTGAGAACATTTGGAAGGCCCGGCATCAGATGGCCTAACAGGGCTAACAAGCACAGCAAACCATTGCAGTTTGCTGTAGGTGACTTGGTCTGGGTCAAATCCAAGGAGTTCCTTCCAAAGAGGGAATGTCACAAAAGTTGTTAACAGAGTACAGAGGACTTGGGAAATACTATGTCAAAGGAGATGCGTATGGTCCCTCCTATACTGTTGAAATCCCACCTCATCTGCACACTTAACCTGTTTTCCACGCCTGTAAGTTACTTCCCTATGTAGAGAATGATTGGTTCCCTTCACGCAGATCCATGATTCCGCCTGATATGGATTCCAACAGATATGACATTGATAGGATACTTGAAGAGGACACCTATAGATCATGACGGAGAGGGAGGCCCAGCGACATCACAGAGTTAGATCTGCTTACCTGGAACCTGAAGGTGATCGCTGGTTCACTAAGAATGAACTTACAGAGACTGCCCGTGACATAGTTTCCTACTACGAGCGGGCAAGTAGGCGAAGTGATGTAGTAGATAGGTACTACATGTAGTAGATAGGTACTACAGCGCTGCTGGGAGGAAGAAGTCGGGAGCTTCCACCTTGGCTATTGTGGAGCTCTACCGGTAGGAGGAGGAGGGAGTAGGCGAAGTGATGCAGTAGATAGGTAAAGTTCGTATTTTTCTTTGGAGGATGTCGAATTTAGGCCTGAGTGGAAGGATTTCACGTTGCCAACATCCAAGTTCTGGTCCCAGAGTCCCAGTTGGTCCCAGTCCCAGATGGTCCTGGCCCTGTTAGGTCCCATAGGCCGAGTTCCAGGCTAGTGTCTGGTCCGGTAGGCTATATGTAGAAGCGTCATAGGTGAAGTCGGACCAGCACCGGAAAAGTCCAGCCTGGTGCCGGACAAAAGAAGTCCAGTCCCAAGTCTAGTTTTGCAACAGTGTCCCAAAAAAGTCCGGAACATATCAGACCGACAAACATTATGCAATAGACAGACTGCGAGCGACTGGCACCAGTGGGAAGCAGGCCAAGATCAAGTTAACGTCCCTATTTATAGCCTGCTAGAATGCAGCGCCTGGACATTCATTTATGTGTGAGCTTCCTGAAGTGCTGCTGGCTGCTTGTGCGGCTTGGCGACTTGGGTGAAGCGACTGGAGGATGGAGGATGGAGGATGCGTCGGATGTGCCTTAGTTAGGGTTTTGAGTGGTGAAGACAGTGGCCGTAGCGGCAGTTGACAAAGAGTTAGGGCGGATGTATCCAGGGTGTAGTATCTATAGGTCTGTGGAGCAGAGAGAGAGTGAGCAAGAGTGAGCTTAAGCAATACAAGAAGTGAGTGAGAGAGAAGAGAGTCGGTGAGAGAGACGTGTGTGTGTGTGTGTGTGTGTGTGTGTGTGTGTGTGTGTGTGTGTGTGTGAGAGAGAGAGAGAGAGAGAGAGAGAGAGAGTAGGAGGTCAGGGTTCAGTACTTAACTGTCTCGGGGGTTGTTATTTGACGTGCCGTGGGAGCTGCAATCAGACTCTCTTTTCCACTCCGCATCATGCAAACAGATGGTGAGGCACACTGGCGCATGGCGCCCACTCTTATCCCACACGCATACACGCACTCTCGTACTCATACACTCGCCTATCAGCTATGGCGGCTATGGCCGCTGTCCCTCTCCTAGCTATGTCTAACTATCTCCTTCAGCCCACTTCGTCTTCGKGCACTCTGCAGACCACCTCGCACAAGTCGCTCAAGCAGCGCTTCCGCATGGCTTACGCAGGAATGAATGAATGGCTGGGCGCTGCCTCTTGATTTATATTCTGTAACTCATTGGTCTGCCCCTTTCCCATGCCCTTGGTGCACGCAGTCCCACACGGTACTTGCTTGACTGGACTAGGACTGACTGGGACCGGTAACGCTGACTCCGCAAGGGTGGACTTTACCACTTGCCCACTTGCCTCCAGTCTGCTGTGAGGACCTTCCGGAAGTCTGTGGACTTGGCCCTTCGACACTGTAGCAGCTACGACCTTAACCTTTCAGGACTGTAGCAGCTACGAACTTGACCTTTCAAAAGAGCTACAGCTACGACTTCTAGAACACACTAAGACCTCTATCCGACAGGTCTACAGTTCGAACCACTACAACCTACGGACCTATGACAGCCTACCAACTGTTGCGAATACACAGGGCACGGGTTCAACTCTCGGGGTCGACACAGGTACTGCACACAGGTAAGGTAAGAACTAGGGATCGAGCCCTGGGATCTGCATTCGCTACTATGAACAGGTGAATACCGTTTCAGAGCTGGTACCTGAACACGATAATGGTTTAATATGATAGCTCTTTGAAGTTTCCCAAGCTTTTCTGATTCGGTGTTTCTGGTATGATGTGAATTTCCATGTCAACTTTCATGCTTGCATATCTGTTTGAGGGTGAATTGAAAGCGGTTCATTGCATCTACTGCTTTTTGCTTGTTTCACTTTTGTCTTTGCATTGTTCTGCAGCTAACAGGGTCTGGCTTCATTGTGGTTGGTGGATGCAGGTGTTGACAGCCTTTTGTGGCCATCTGGCTGGCCTTGCACTTGTTGCAGCCCTGTACTTTCTGGAGCTACAGTGTGGATTTGTCCAGTTCTCATCACCATTTATTGTGGCAACACCACCAGTGCCTGGGTTATGGCAGATGGGAATGAGGATTGCTTCAGTCGCTGAGTCTGTGGCAAAGGCTTTTAGGGTTGCCGTGCAAGGTTGTTTGCTGGGCGTCTCTGTTTCCGTGGTGGAGGAAGTGCTGTTCCGTGGCTGGATGCAGGAGGAAGCTGCCATTTCTTTGGGACATAACCGTGCAGCACTGCTCTCAGCCGGCATTTTTGCAGTGGTTCATTGGTGAGTTGGAACCTGGAAACAATGCATGTTGCCATTCACAGCATGCATAAATTTGAAGAGAGTATGAAACCTGCAACCAAATAAACCTTTCCCGACTGGAACTGGATGGTCGTACGACCAGATGCATTCACAGAAGTCCTAGTCTAAGGAATGCCCTTTTGATCATTCTCAGTTTACCATGAGGGTAAAAAGGAGTGCTGAATCTATTGGAGCAGATACATCCATAAAAGTAACTTCCATCTTCCACTGAATAGAACATACGGTCACTGTAGCTGTATTTGGGATAAGGACCATACGTTCTTTTGGGGGAAAGGCGGTAATGTGAGTATGCCCAAATAGTTCTGAATGTATGCCCATTGTAGTGTATCATGGCATTACAAATTTGTCACCGTTATTTGTTCTCCTCTACCTCCTCGTCTTCGTCATTGAGGGAAGTTCATCCACAATTCACCCTTCAGTGGAGGTAGGAAGTCACTTTTGCTGATGAAGAAGAGAAGTTGGAAGTTCATCCCCAATTCATCCTTCAGTTGCTGATGAAGAAGAAAAGCTGCCTCTAAGTTTGCAGCAATGGTGTAAAGGGAAGCCTTTCCCATGGAGTCCAAAGTTGTGACCTTTTGCAATCTTAAGCAACTTCATTCACAATGGCTTGTGTCGAAGTTTGTGATTTTTGGTTGACGTTAGAATTGAGTATCTTGTAGAAGAGAGGCTGAGTGAGGGATGCGGGAGCAGGGAAACTGTTACAGGTGTGAAGGTTCACTGCTATGACGGGAGCTGCGTGACACCAAGGCAGAGGGTATAAGGGGTGGCCGCTCCATTTGACTGTATCTGTTCTCTCCATGGGGAAAGTGGGCTCATATCTGCCGATATACCTCTGGACAACTGGAACATAATTGAGGTGTGGCAGGAGATTGCACTCCTGCACTGTGGGCAGAGAGTGAAATGACCTCAACCAGTGCATTGTGCTATCTTGCAATCGCCAACATCCTGTCGGAGGCAGTTTGTATCAGGTGGAGGGGTGGTAGGAGGTTTGCAATTGGTCTTTGCACTCCTGCACTGTGGCCAACGAGTGAGATGGCCTCAATCACTTCATGGCGCTATGATGCCTTCGCCAACATCCTTTCAGAGGCAGGTTGTAGTAGCAGGGCTGAAAGGGTGGTGGGATGATGCCTTCGCCAACATCCTGTCAGAGGCAGGTTGTAGTAGCAGGGCTGAAGGGGTGGTGGGATGACGATGCAAATAAGGTGCAGACTGTGCCATAGATTTTGTTATGCATTAGTATCTGCTCTCGGCCTCACAGATGGTCTGTGTGCACACTCAGATAGCACATTGTACCAATTGCGTGTTCAATGTTCATATGATAACACCTCACTTTTTAGTAGGTCCACGTACACACTCGAATAGCACATCATACGATTGGTACGATGTGCTATCTGAGTGTGTACACTACTTTAAAAAGCTCTTCAGTATCAGCTTGACATAGTTTACATTGAGGCGATTATGTTCACTGTACCTTCATACTACATAGTGTAGAATCCCCAAACAAATAGGAGAGTGAAAAGGAAAGAGATCAACTCTTGAGAACGTCTTTAACACTGTTTGACAACCAATGTGGTCCAATTGCAGGTAGCGAACTGTACATCAATGTGCTGTAACTCATGTGCCAAATCGGGCAGCTAGGCTCTGGCTGCACCCTCAGACGAGCACGAACGGGCAGGCCCTGAAAAAAGGTGTCAAACAGGCCTTAGGAAGAGGCCCAGACCGGCAGTTGACCAAAATGTCAACAGTCATCTCATGGACCGAGACCCAGATCCGAGAAGTCAGAAGTCAACCCATAAGATTTTCTGGCCGTCGATCTGGAATGATCTAACAGAGGTCTGCAGGTTCCGGAAGATTCAGGCCGCGAGGGGTTCAGACCGAAACTGGGACAAATTGGATCTGAGCCGTCGACATTGGGAAGGGGCTGGGGCCTCACATGGACAGATGCTAGTCCTGGACAGCGCGAGTCGACACTACATAAGGTTGACCTCACCACTGCTTGGGCATTCTGTCTTGCAAGTTGCTTGCGGCTTCGATGCTGCACGTGAGACTTGAGGGGAGGCTGCTGGCGCCAGGCTGTTTCATGGGCACCAGCCAGTTACTGTAGTAGGAAAGGAGAGAGAAGGCAGCCATTGCTGAGACCATAGATGATGGCGAGGTAGTGAGGGGAGAGAGAGAGTGTGGGCGAGAGGTGATGTCCTGTGCGCGTACCTGGTCTTACCTGATGTGACACTGCTGCTGATTCTGCTCGCTGCTGGAGGTGCTCTTCTGTGAGGGGCTGCATTACATCATCCACGTGTCATGCTGTGTTCAGGTTGCTGACGTGGCAGAGGTGGGAAGCCTGGAGGAGAAGTGGGACTTGATTGTTCTCCCTCCATCTGTCTTTTCTTCCCCCTCTTTTCTAATCTGGATACTCTTGTCTTGGAGACTTTACATGTGGATATAGAGAATCATGTACTTCATTGACTTCGAATTGATGGACTGGCAGGAATGATTATCTAGACATTACACGGCATTGTTATCTGACGACGTGATTGTTTGACGAGACTGGGCTCATTACAAATGGAAGGATTGCCTATAATTGAGCGGTGTGCCTCCAGCACTCTCCTTCAAGTTGGTCATCATCCTGAAAACATAACATAATAACGACAGCTGCTGTTTATATTGGTGTTAATTGATTGGGGTGGTTGATTTTGATGCCACGAGACGGCAACGATAACTGGTTCTTATGTTTTCATCACGATGGTTTATTGCTTCTCATGTAGATGATGTGACATATATGATTGCTTTCTATAAAGCAGTAAATACTAGTAATAATTCAAATTGACAATTCTGATTGTTTCTTTTTTTTTGGTTGTTTGAAAAGATGTTAAAGGAAATGTGTTTATGGCACTTTATGCAGTATGAGGCATTGCTATACTGCTTTCAGCTATAAGGAAAGGGCCTTGGTTTGTATTGGATTATGAGGCCAATTGTTGCCTGCAGCCTTCGGCCTTACGTGGTTTACAATTAGGTCTTACTATGACCAAGATTAGTGATGTTACTCCACTGCCACATAACGGATGTCATCGTCCAAAGAAACGCCGTGTATAAGATTGCTCATCGCTTCTCATGATCTGATTGGCAGAGGCACGAATGAAGGCAGTGCTGCTACATTTATTTTGACAAAATCGGCTAGGGACTCACCACATTGTTGCAGTGGTGTGTTGCGCCCTTTCGGCCTTACGTGGTTTACAATTAGGTCTTACTATGACCAAGATTAATGATGGTACTCCTCTGCCACATAACGGATGTCATCGTCCGAAGAAACGCCGTGTATAAGATTGCTCATCGCTTCTGATGATCGGATTGGCAGAGGCAGAAATGAAGGCAGTGCTGCTACATTTATTTTGACAAAATCGGCTAGGGACTCACC